CTATTTTAAATGAGCTTTGGCCCAGAGAAGATGGTGGTGTTTCTGGATTGTGTTAACATATGGCTTCTTCTTTGCATGATACAGCTTTAACTTGCATTTGTGGATTGCATGGTGAACTGTGTTCACAGACAGTGATTTCTGGAAGTGTTTCTGAGCCCAGGCAGTGATGTCTAGTACAGAATCATGCAGTGCCGCCTGAGGGCTCGAAGATCACAAGCACCCAATATTGACCATCGGCCTTGTTCCTTGCATACAGGGATTTCTCTCTGAATGTTTTGATGATATTGTGTACTGTAGATGGTGTTTTTATTTACATTTATTAACATTTTATACAGCGTGCCAATTTTTTTGGAATTTGCATTGTAAATATATTCTCTTGGTGTAAATAAAAATCACAAAAACACTTAGAATAAATAATGGTTTTTAATATTTGGGGCCAGATTTTAACCAGCTGCTGGTCTCCATACCTTCAGTTCACAATATCAAACACATCTCATCAAATCTCTTCAAAGTATATGAATATGTGTATTTAAATGTAATTTAATGTGAAATGTAAAAAAGGTTTCACAAGGCAAAGCTTAAAAGTTAAAAGACTGTCCAGACACACTTTGATTTGCCATTTTGTGTGTCCTCATGAAGCCTTAGTAGGCCACAATGCATCGGTACAATCTTTTAACTTTTTAAGCCATGTGTTAATAAATCTTTTGTATATGTCTGCAAAGACAGAGTGCCTTGAGTTGTTTTTGCTCTATATTTTATATTTTTGGGATGCACATGGATTCCTTTACCTTTACAACTCCTAAAAACATGAACACACATATCTTGTTCCAACCACGTCTCACAAATGCATTATTTTCATCATTTCAATTTAAAATAAATACCACAACAACTCTGTGTGGCCCCCACAGACCCCCATGAATTGTGGGTATACAGCAGCACCACTCAGCATGATGCTTTTGTGCTTGTGAAACACAGGAAGAGCTTGAGAAAATGAGGCATTGGAAAAGCTATGTGATTGAGCAGAGGAGAAGGGGTCAGTTGGTCAGCTAATTATGGGCAGCTATATTGAGACAGTGTGAAAAACATCCTGCAGGGGGTCTCTGCTGTTCTTTGAATGTTTAAGAAGGTAAAGTCTGGGAGAATTGTCCTCAGTCCCTGAAGAGACGAGTCACCAAAGGCCCTGAGAGCTTTTTCGTTTTCAATTAGTGATTCAGTTGCTGTGAGCAAACAGTCTGACACCCAGATCAGTCACTGTGACACGAGCACAGAACAACAGGCCTGTTGGTAGAATTACACTGACTGTGTCTCCGTTCAGGCTCTATACTATACTACACATGCTAGATTCATCCTAATGGACTACAACTCAAAAGACTGGAATGAATGTTTTCAACAATATAAGCCAGTTTGGTTGCAGATAAATGTATAAATTGATTCTAAAATGTGAGTCTAGTACAACTTCACAGAATTCATATCTAGCATTCATCAAAAAAGTGGAGATCAAGGCTCAAAGCATGTGACTAACAATTAGTGTAAACAGACATTTAAAAATCTAATCTATTGAAAAAATCTAAAAAAACACTTAAAAAAGATGGTTCTTCAAGAGTTCTTTAGGTTCTATATATGAACACTCAAAGAACCCTTTGCATGCTTAAATGGCTCTTTGCATGGAGAAATCGTTCTTCAGATAGACGGATAATGTGTTGTATTTGGTTCAATACGGCACCTTTTTGAAAGGGGCTCTGTATAGCACCAAAAAGGGTTCTTCTATAGTTGCAAGCTTAATATCATAACAGTGGAAGAACCGTTTTGGTAGAACATAGAACCCTTTTTGAAAAGCTTCTATATTGAACCATCTTCAGCACATTCTCCAACAATCTGAAGAACCCTTCAACCAAGCAAAATGTTTGAGTGTTTATGGTTCTACATAGAACCTACTAAAGAACCTTTAAAGAACCATCCTTTTTAAGAGTGCCTTTCGGTGAAAAATTTTGTAAATCCATGTTGTGTAGGTTATTGAACACCCCAGTCAAATTACATGTTCTATTGGTTTTCAACACATCCTCCACAGGAAACAAGTAAATACAGCATTTTCCTGTAAAGTTTAATACACAATTTTTAGAGTTTATAATTATAAAATTTGAAATGTTCCATAACTTTTGCATAACATTTTGTGACTTTACCCCAGTATGTTAATTTTAGTAAATAAACAGTGATTGTGCTTTAAAATGTGCAGAAATGTGTTCAGTGTACACTCTCAAAAAAGATGGTTCTTCAAAGGTTCTTTAGTAAAGACAATGGTTCAGTATAGAACCTTGAACACTCCATCCATCCATCCATCCATCATCTAAACCGCTTATACCTTGAACACTCAAAGCACCATTTTCAAGATTGAATGGTTCTTTGCATGGTGAAGTAGTTCTTCAGACTGATGGAGGACGTGTTGTATATGGTTCTATATAGAACCTTTTTGAAAATGGTTCTATATAGCTCCAAAAAGGATTCCGCTATTTTTTACAATGGCAAGCTTGTAACAATAGAAGAACCATTGTCTCCACTAAAGAACCCTTATAGAACCATCTTTTTTTTTTTAAGAGTGTAGAGGATGTACTAATATGTTCACTTAGAAAATAAACAAAGCATGTAATTTGACCATGAGAGCCACAACTCCTGCATACGACTGTGAAATAAAGACTGTTAATATGGTGGGTGATCCCAAACTTTTGAACCATACAGTATGTACTATCTACACCACATATTTCATTATCTACAGTATACGCTAATGTTTTGCATTAAATTGAAAGGACTCATTACTGCGCTGTACCTCACATGATTCGATCACTACACATCATTCGAAAGCTATAACCTAACTAACAATGTAACTTCTTAATGTAATCCTTAGAATATTGTAAAAAGCCTAAAGCAAAGAATGCTGCATGGAAAGATTTCTAACTCATGTAGTTTTAAAAATGTGTGACTGCAGCTTCTTCTGTGTATGGCAGCCTGTGAGAGACATGTTCCACTTTTTTCAGCAGCTTTTGCTACAGATGGTACATTGTCACTTCTTCTTTTCATTACCAAAATCAAAGCCTTAAGTATCAGCCAATATTGATCTGATAACTCTAAGCTTTAATATGAGCTGTTTTAACTAAGGCATTTCACTTAAGATGAGCATCTCACTCTACACTCTACTAACCCCACAGGCAGAACTGCACAGCTAACATCACATCACACAGTGTAAGTGAGAGCATCTTCAGAATACGTTTGGGTTGGATTGGACCAGATTAACTCCTTTTATCACTTCCAATATCCAATCCAGGTTTTCTGCTGATATCAGCCCCATTCTGATACCCACTGACATGACGTCATCTGTTGTTCTAGTACATCATCTGCGTAGTAACAGTCCACTACAGTCTGTTTCATTTCCTTGTGTTTTTGTTTTTTGCTTGCGTACAAAGATTGGTACTCAGTTTAAGATTTTCCCTCATTAATTACTCATTAATGCGATATTAGATCAATGCTTGAGTATCAGGTTTTTTTGTTTAAACAATTTTCTATGTAAAATGTGCAAACTGCACCAAAAGTAATCTATCAGAGCATGTCAGGTCTTCTATATTTACAATACATGCAAACTACAATTATATATATGTATTTATAATGCTGCAACATAGTTGTATGCAAAAGTTTGAACACTGCAGCGAGAAGTTATCATCTCCTCAACAAAACATGTCATTTCACCAGGGGTGCCCAAACTTTTGCATTCAACTGCAACTGTACTGTCCCAGCAGTACAGGATCTACAGTGTTTATATTATTCTGTCTAAGCAGTTCTCCCTCAACACTAGAAAAACACAACCTTCACTTCACACGCCGTTCTCTTACAAACAGACGCGTACAAGCAGCACTAACACAATACTGAATGGAATTCCTCTTCCTCGTGTTTGTGTGCTGTGCTGTATTTACAGTCAGGATAACAGTAAGATGGCGTGGAATGTCAGAAATAACACCAGCATGCAGGAACATGCAACACGTGCAGATAACACACACACAAACAAAGACACACACACACACACACACACACACACACTCCAGTGACTGACAGTAGTTCACTCCATCTATATAGAACCTTTTTGAAAATGGATCTTAACAGCACCATAAAGCGCTCTTCAGTTGTTACAGACTTGACATTATAACAATAGCAGAGCCCTTTTTGATTTTCCAGAACCATCTAGAGCACTCTGCAATCTGAAGAATGCTTTAATGATGCAAAGGGTTCTTTGAGTGTTCATAGTTCTAAATACTTTATATACTTTACTAAAGAACCCCTGAAGCATCTTTAAGAGTGTATCATTACTGAGTCAGGAGGAATAAAACATTACAATATGATGTGCTGCTGTAAGTAAAGTGAGCTGCTGTAAAGCCTGAAATAATTATTTAGAAGTCAGAGATGTTGGGTCAGATTTCACGGGACTTTTTCGGACGCCACACGTCTTTACATGTTAAACTCACACGCAAAAAGAAGGTCTGACTCGATGTTAAGGTCTCAAATGCATAATCCATTCACTTACATCCTCAAACTACACTCTTTCAGCGGGTTCACTATCATCAGATCATTTGCTTGGGGAAGAGGTACAAAGCACAACCCAGCTTACAAAATGTTCTTCTGTATGTTGTGTGAATATTTTAACTGTGTGCAGAAGTGAGTCCTCTGTGGCGGATGTGTTAACTTAGTTTCACTTAGAAACACTTAACAAAACGTGTGATTTGATCAGGGTCACCCAAACCTTTGAATTTAACTGTTTTTATTATACTTTTAACTGCGTAAGATTTTGGGCACAGTACATATACTTTCACTTCAGTGTAGTTTCTCTGGATGTTTTTCACTTTACACTGTAAGAAATTCATCAACACTTTTAGACCTGGTGAATCAATAAACAGCTGTCAAAGCAACACAGCCATATTGAGGGTGTAAATGAAAACAACCAAAGCTTTCATTCAATTGAAATGTATTACAAAACACTGAAACAGGGAACAGAAAAACAAATTTTCATCACATCATACAGCAGCTACACATTAAGACATGCATTGACAGAAAGTGTAAAATTGCCTACAAGGCATTGTGCGTAAGACATTAGGCAGACCTTATTTTTTTAAAAATTAAAAGTGTTAATGCTAAATTAAAGTACAGAAAGATAACAGCTGTAAAAGGCTCCAGATATAAAACCACTGATGAATGTCCAAAACAGAGTCAGTTTAATGGACAGGGATTAAGCCCAGTCATGGAATGCACATTGAATGGAGATTCTCAACTGAAGGGAAAATGTCCAGAACTAGGCTTAATCCTTGCTTGAGAAACTGACCCTTTGAACAGAACAGTAACAGTCATATGCTTCAGAAAATGACCTGTTTAAAAAATGAACCTGGAAAAATATCTTATGTCTCTATTACCTCACTGTTAACTGGAGTTGCAATTACAAGGGAAATCTTTGGTAAAAATTATTATTACGAATAAAATTCAATGCAAGTTTTCCATCTTCCATTGTGCGCATTTTCAAAAAGCATGTGGTTCATAAATGTAAAAGAAGGAAAAAAAAAAGCTGCTCAGATGTATGTGAACAGGCATTGGGCATTGGTCCTCTATGAGCCACAGTGGCAACGGCATCAGGTTTCATGCAGGTCGCTTGAACCCTCTCCGCGGACAACAGAAGACGACTACAGAAGACAAAAGCAAACTATTTTAAAATGATTAGTTAACTAAATCAGATGTACAACTGATTTGAATGAAGCACAGTTAACCAAACACTGCACACTGGAACATCACGATTCACACAGTATTTATTACTGACTTACCTGCTGAGAGTCCGCTTGCTGTGAGGAAGCTCAGAACAGGCCTGTTATCTCCTCAGTATTCGGATCAAGGTCGATGTCATAGAAACAGGGGCGCGTGGGCAAGCCTGGCATCGTGCTCATCTGCACAACACAAACAGCGGCCAGTCAGCACTCATTACATCAGAAGACTCTGTGTTTACCACAATCTCTCTCTAACTCTCTCACCACGATCCATGATGAAAGCTATTTTTGTGCTACGTGCTCGATATCTCCGTAATTTACAAAATTACTCCAGCTATTCTGAGATCATCTAATTGTGGGACAAAATGAAGAAAGCAGTTTTAAACTTGGTCTGGAGCAAACAATGTTTCATTTCAGACTCACTCCACTACGAATTATTTATCAAGGCTTTATCTTTCCTAATGCATTTCCGCTTTAACCCTTTAACTCATTTTTAATGAAACTAATCAATGAAATAAAGTGTTTAAGCGATCTGATTCTGTTGCACAATAATGTAACTATCAGTAACATCATTAAAGCTTCCACTCTTTTCAGGAGACGTGCCTACAGTTTTGTAAATAAATCTGCAGGGATATTTTTCTACGCCTTCAAAGTTCAGTTTTAGAACTTTGCATTATTTTCTTCTCGTGAAGTAATCAACACTTTCAGTAATGGTGAGGACTGGGCTCCAATTTTTATGTTTTAGTGTAAATTTTCTTTCCTCAGTGAGGGCTTCTTGACATCTACACACCCTTTCAGACTCATAGCTGTCTTGAGCAAGAGTGGAACTTATGCAAGTGGATCTTCTTTCTAATCACATAACATAATGACTGTATTGACTGCAAATTAGACAAATGACAGCTAGGAAGACCAGTCCAAGGATGGGTGGTTGGCTAGTGTGGGTGGATGGGTGGGTGGATGGGTAGGTGGGTGGGTGGTTAGCTAGGGTAGGTGGATGGTATTAAGCTATAAGCTATGGTATGGTAAAAAGACTGAATGACTCAGGATGCCTTAGCAATCTGACTGTAATTACAGAGCAGTCACAGGAATTTACTCTGTAAAGCAATTTAATGCAAATCACATTTAACAGTGCAAGTCGCTGAAGGACACTCCTGCCTCTCACCAGTAAATAAAGATTGATCAGATTAAGCCTGATCCTTGACCAAACAATAAAAGTAGATTAATGGACCCTGTATTTTACACAAGGTTTTATGCAAAATCAGTATGCTTGCACGACCATGCAGTCCTATAGGATGGTATAAACTGCACTCTGAGAAAAAAGCAAGTTTGCAGTCACATATTCCCGAATGTCAGGTACACCTTATAAACAACACTGAGGAAAGAAGTGAGCTCGTGATGAATGCTGTGAAGATGAGGGCTTTCAGTTCTGCCACTCAGGTAGCAATGCCTGAGACAATGTTATTCCTGACATCAAGACTTTGGAAAATGACAGCAATCTTTTCACTGTCCATTACCCACTGGATTCCCTTCATTCAGCACACCATTCAAACCTCTCATCCTCAGGTGAAGACCACAAATTCTATGCAGTCTAGAAGTACAGATTAGCAATAAGGAATATATATATATAAAAAAAAATTAAACAAGCTGCTGGGTGGCAAAAATTGCCAATTTTTTTAATAAACATTTTTATCACCTGCAATTTGTGCAGAAAGTGGATGAAAACATACTGAGGTAAAATTATTACAAGAAAAAAAAATATCTTAGAAAGAAAATCCAAAGTGCACTGTAGCCGTAGAGAACTTTTACTCCGACATCCACAACATCCTGTGTCATTCATCGTGAAACATCATCGGTCATTCATTATCATGAACAAGATCAGAGGACACATGAATGAAATGAGACTAAATGATTGCTGGCCTTCTTAACTTGGACAACAGCTAAACCAACTAAAGGTCTTGTGAACTTGCTTGGAAGACTTTGTGCTCATACAATTAGGAGGACGGTTTGAAAGACAAAACTTTCTCCAAGCACCACAGCTGGACAGTTGATTAAAGGAGTTGATTGCATCCTGTTTTTTTTTGTTTTTTTTTGCCGCAGATCATTCCAGCCCTCAGAGCTAAACCACACTGAAAGCCAGAGTTTCCACCATCGAGAAACAAGCACTTTGAAAGATCTGGAGGGAGTTCATATGGAGGAATCCTTTTACATGGATTCATGGGTTTTGTATTATGTATTCTCTCACCTCTTTAGTACTCTATATAAAATTCCAGTGATTAAGACTTTATTTTTATTCCATTTCAATAAATTTACCTTTGTGCAAGGTTACATTTCTCTCATTTTCAGTCTACAATTAAGCTAACTAACATTTTAAAGCCTTTCTTTTATTTACCAAGGATGCAAATAAAGCTGCAGGGTAAAGTAAGAATGAGAATCTTATATTTTAATCATCATTAAATGATTCCACTGTAACCTAGCCAACTTTAGACTCCCCATAACCATTTTAACAAGTCTGACGCAAGAAGCCCAGAAAGCCAATAGCATTTTAATGTTATTTTGACAAGGACGTAAAAGCCAAAGCAGTTTCCACGAGACAGAAAAGGTCACAAGCGGACGATGAGATGGACTGAGCAGCAGAGCAACTGGTCAGAACATTACTGATTTCATTATAAGCATCTGAGAGGGTCAGCTACACTCTTCAGCCTAACTCTGCACCACTGGCACTAACAGCTGGCATATCTGACTGGGAGACATGCTTTAAACAGAGTTTCATTAACAGTGGAAATCTGAAAAAGTGCAGAGTTAATCCAAGAGTTCATGTTTAGGTGCATTAAGACTTCATCTGTTTAAAGTTTTAAAGTTCAGCTCTGCTTATGCTATCTGACTACGGATAATCTACGGAGTGGATTGTGTCCTTGGAATGAAAATTCAGTCTCAAAGCTAAGTAGGTCAAAACAAATTTCCCAACCAGCCTGAAAAACATCAACTATAAGCAAATCTGGTAACTTCTAAACTTTCAGACTGGCAGACACCTCCCAATCACAACAACCAGGCTGCCAAAGACATCCACATGAAACCTATTTTTATAAAGGTGCGAAGTGTCTTAGCAATTTGCAAAATGACTCAGGCTATTCTGAGATCATCCAATTGTGGCAGGAAGCAAAGAAAGCAGCAACAGTTTATTTTATCTAGTAGTAGTCTTTGGGAGTAGCATAGAGAATCTGAGTGGTTTGAGCGTGATAGCCTACAGTTAGACACACATCTTAATTGAATCGATTAAAAACAGCTCATTTTAAAGCTTAGTTTTAATCAGAAGATATCAGTCCGTCAATGCTCGGTCAGTAATAAGTATCAATAACACCTTTTACCAACAACGCATACTGGTGATATACATAAGATACAGTATGACTGACATCTATCTTTCACTCCAAAAGTCCAGCTTGATTCAAATAAGATGACACATTGAATGCCACCATTATGTTTACAGCTTTACAACAGCAGCAACAACAACTACTGTCTACTACTACTATTTTTTACATATTTACATAGCATCTTTTTCAAATACTTGATAAGCTTCAAAACACATCCATGAAATAAGAACAGATAAAAGCAATATATGAGCAATATATACGCAAAAATCCAAAATAAAATAAAATTTAATTTAATTTACAGACACATAAATCAACGCCAATATGCATTTCTAAAAAGGTTTTAAGAAGCGAGCTAAAATATTTGAAACTGTCTGTAACTGAACTGTATTTACAACCTTTATAAAATGTATCCTACCTCTAAAGTCAGCAGGAACTCGAAAACATTCACATTCTCAAATTTTCCTTTCGTACCGTGACGCATTTCTGAGTAAAATGTGGTATCAGAGAGCTAGCTGAGTGATGATGGGTGGGGATTGTGGGAAGGGGAAGTGAAACTTAATATAATTGGTTTACATCATTTTTCCTTGCCCTTTTGGTTCACAGTAACTTACCCAAAATTCAGAAAAAGGTAAAAAGTCCAGTCGTGATTTCAGGTTGACATAGATTTCCAACATTGTGGATTTTAAAATGAGGGTGAACCACTAAAAGATCCTGAGCTCATGTTCCTTACATTCACAATTTTAACAGACGTAGGAGCTCAAGACTTGCTGGTGGTTCTGATGGTTGGTGGAACTGGACACTCACTTCTCTAAAACAAGTATAACCAATCCAAGCACAATGCATGAAAGAACATCAACTAGAGTAGGATACAGCATTCTTCTTGAGGTATTTTCCATGTAGCATTATTGCATTCTTCAACTCTACTGTGTTTGCTTCCCCAGTCAGAACCAATCATTTCTTTTTTGGAACACCAGCAATAAGACATGGCACTGCTGGACTAGAGACCAAGTCCGAACTGTAGGGTACATTTCAACATTTCTACACTGCTGCATTGTGCCTTTACCAGATGCATCCTCTGTGTCATGACAAATCACTTTATTCTTGTCAAAACAGCAAATCTGGAGTGAATGGTTATCTTCCAAACCCAACTGGTTGCATAGAGAGAGCATAGCACAAATTAACATCATCTGACTGGCAAAATGCGATTCAATTTTAAGATTAAATTTTATTGTTTAAAGAAAGAAATACAAAGTGACAGCATGTGAACAGCAGATCACGGGTCCAAAAAATGACTCTCCTTGACCACGGACAAAGGAGCAGATGCACAGATCCACCACACAGGAAGAACACAAGGCGCAACCATCACGTTATCTGACGTGAAATCTGAGGTAATCAGGGAAAGGCGAGCAAGAAAATCAGTGATAGCTTCCTGAAACACTACAGAACGATCCATATGAATGATTGAAAATTCAATGACGATATCATTAACTAATCTGTCTTAAAACAAACTCACTTGCTTGGTAGAGCAGTACGAACTTTAACATGCCACACTTTAGCATGACAGGTGCCTTTGATAAAAGCTGAACAATCACAGTCTTGTAGTCTAAATGTTTAAATACATGACCCTTGGTCAAAGCCACTAAGTGACCAGTAGACATGCCATTTGGGCAGTCTTCTCTATTCCCCTATTCTTCTCTTCCCAACTTAGCAGCTTCTTTCATTCCCTATCTGTTATAAGATCAAATAAAATTTTATTTCTGTCTCAGATCTAAGAGAAGCTGAAATTACCCTGAAAAGAAGACTTCGCTTATG